ACAAACTAAACCTAAACCTCTCGCTTCCAGAGCTTGGAGAGCTTGGGCATCGTCGACTTGTTCCTGCCCGGCGTCGCCAACCTGACGGCCTTCGATCGCTTCGCCAACCTGAACGTGGACGAAGCTATCCATCAGGCGACGGTCGAGGTCACCGAAGAGGGCACGGTCGCCACGGCAGCCACAGGTTAGTACGCGGGGAGGAAAGGGGGGGGGGAGGAGAGGAATAGGGGTTGGGGGGGAGGAAGGGAAGGTAAATAATGGAGGTGGGGAGCAGGGAAATAGGACAGGAAGGAAAAGAAGGATAATGAGGGTAGGATGTAAGGAACGGGAAGGAAAGAAAAATTAATGGGGGTGAAAGGTAGGAAAGAAAACGACGAAGAATGGGATTGGGGGTAAGGAAAGGGAATGAAAGATTGGGCGACATACACAAATTAGTGACTTTTTTTTTGGGGGGGGGAGAGGGTAAATTAATTGTTTAACTAATCTAAACCTCCCCTTAGTCAGCCTGGCAGTAAATAAAAAAGGTAAACTTCACCTTGACTAGATAGACAGTAGATATATAAAAATAATAAAATATGGATATACATAATAGATGCCATATGTAATGTAATGTAAGCTCATATAACACCCATCTGTTCTCTATCTAAAAAACAGGTCTGATCAACACCAGACTGGGCATCACGCCAAGGTCGTTCGTGTGCAACCGGCCGTTCGTCTACCTCATCTACAACAAGGTTCTCGGCTTAACTCTCTTCGCTGGACGATACTCAACGCCTACGTAGTGAGAGCAAAGACAAGATAGAAAGATCAAGGAATCAAGGAATGGAGAAAACTTGCCAGAAGAAAATTTAAATGTGTTACAGGTAGAAGAGAGCATTTTAAATAACTAGCACTCACAGAGAAATAATTTGAGGACATAGAAAGGATCGGAGTTAATTCATTAAAGAACATGGTTAAATGCACTAAAGAACATTCTGAATCCGTGGCTCACAAAGAAACCGCAAAACTACAAAAATTTCCGATGTTTTTCAACTTTCATGTGTGAAATAATTAAATTGAGAGGTGGTATGTGTGGAAAATTGCCATGTATGTTTATTTGTAATGCACTCATTTATTACTAAACTCTTTGCCTTAAAGAAAAGCAAGGAAATACCATTTATATAATGTGTGGAAAACGGTAATTTATGCCTCTGAATATTTATCAGTACTTGAACCAAAATAAAATATAAGTATTTTTATTCTCATGTTTCTTTTACTTACCCGAGTTTCCCCATTATTAAAATAAAACAAAAAATGAAATGTGCATTATTGACACCAGATACACATCTGAATTCTTATGTTTGTTATATTTGGTAGATATTTTTCATTTCTACAAGCATAATATTATCAGGTAAGTGTTTATGCTATGCTTGGAAAATGATAGGAACTCTATGGACATTAGCTTTTATCAGTGACTAGATATTGCACAAGCCATTCTTGAAACCAAATGCTGGAGTGAAACACAATGCCTTGAATTTCAAGTCTAAGTCTTGCTTAAAAGTTTCTGCTGCCTAAAAGGTCAACAAAAGATACTATAAGGTATATTCAATTTTATTACCAAGAATATCAATGTGTAACATTTTGAGATATATAAATAGTAGTTCACTCATTTGTTTTCACAAAGATATCATGATTGTATGGGTATCATATTAGTATAATTTTAACATTTCATTTAATGTAACACAGTAAAATCTTTACAAAGAATGAGCATTGCAGATATCTAATTTGTTCATAACCCCCTATGACTACAAAAACTAAAAAATAAGCTTATAAATAGCTTTGTCCTATTATCTCTTTATAGCATGTATTTATATATATTTATCATATAAAGTATATCATATTTAAATAATTTTTTAAAACAAACCAACTTGTAAAAATCACATAATACTTCTAATATTTTACTTCAAATTAATGTTCAAACTATATTGTTCAATGTCCTGAGTATATTAAATCTCCAGTTTCTGGTTATATCTGGAAACCCTTATTAAATGATAACAAGTTAGAAAAATAACAAGGTGCACTGTATGCATACTGTTTTAACTTTCAAGGGAGCGGTTCTGTAATGGGCATACATATAAATAAATGAATGTAAAATAAACAAAGCAACTGAGATTACTGGGCCTGGATACAAATTTCTGGGATAAAAATCAATTCCAAGCAACAATCTAAACCTTAGTTTGTGCTTTCATTTGCTTTATCTTAAATAAGGTAGACTTGCAACACTATAACTGTTAAAAATTATAGCAAAGTATTCACAATTACAATCTTGACTAATAACTGACTCCTTGGTGACTAAGCACCTATAGAGCCATCTATGTTTAAAGACAATAGATGAACTTTATTACAGTGGGCATGGCATTGTATTCTTGCCATCCATGCCGATCGGATTAAGGTAGATGGATTATTACAACTAGCCCATACCAAATATGCAACAGATAAGAACAAAAAGAATCTAAAAAAAAAAAATACTCAACCCTCATTCAACAATAGATGATGAGCTAAAAAAGTGCACCTATTGCAGCTAGACACAGTTTCTCCCACGTTTACTCAATTCAAAATTACATAAAGGAACCAAAATCAGACAGTACCTGCATAACCCTTCTGTTAATCCATATCAAAGCAATTAAGAGACCCACTGGATGTCACTTGAGCCTTGAGAAGAGAAAAGTGATAAATGAAATAATAATGCTACAAATGCAAGTGAGAAAAACACTGGAAATAAGTGAGGCACATTTCCCATAAAGATACACTTCTCAAATTGAATTTATATCAAGATCACTCTAATGCTTTTGTCCTCTTCAAGATAGCAGTTACACATACTTAAATAACTGGTTGCCATAGACCTCCTGCTAGCAATGTTGAAATGATGGGTAGTAAATAAAGTTAGAGATCTTAAAATACTGTTATATCTGTCTCTGATTATTTTGTGGTGTAACAGGTAGCATGGGTAATCAGATTTTGTGTAATCTGCAATTCCTATTTCCCATTCTTTCACTCTCATAAGAGCTGGGATTTGGGTTAGTTTCAATGGCACTGGAGCTGGGAGGGCTGGTAGAAAAAAAAGAGCAACCATGAGGAAGTAGCTCACACATGCACAGAAAAGATTGAGCAATACATGACAAAGTTATATGGTTATGTAGGCCACTTGGTGGCTGCTGTGGAAGACTTTTCAGTTGCATATATACTGTTTTATAATGATGTGCACTAATGACATGACCTAAATACAACCATCCATGGATTCGTCTTGGCCCAGATTTTCCTATTGGCCCTGGATTTCTTGTGGTATATAAAAGTTGCAAATATGAGCACAAAATTATATATAAAAAAGAACAATAATTATGAAAACTTTGGAGGCTAATTCCTCAAAACCTTTTTTTTCACACTGGAGAAACTCCTAGTCTCAGCATCTTTATACATCTTTATACATTCCTTGAAAATGACATCACAGCACTACTTATTATTTTATTCTATTTTTTATTGCAAAAGACTATAACTTTTACAAAGTGTTATAGGTCTGCAAAGTACACAGAATTTCCATTAATTTCCAAGAAATTAAAATTGTCTAGTCTGTCAGTGTACAAAGTTTACTCACCTATAATTTTATAATAAAATTATGAAAACCAGTACAGTCCTTCCATGGAAAAAAAAACACACAAAAAAAAGAAAAAATGAAAATCACACAATATTGAAAAATAAGGATACCAAAAAAAATCCACATCTCAACATCTTTTTTTACCAAAGATCGTGAAACTCTATAGGACAGTTCTTAAAACAGAAATGAAAACAAACAACATACAAAAAAGGATTCTATGGGAATGCTTCCTTCAAGGCCTATTAAATCATATGATATCAAGATCAATAAAAATGGGTAAGTAGCATTATCACTAACATCCAGCCATTAAATTCGTTGAAGAAACACAAGACATACATTTGATCTCCTGTCGTATTAGAGTGAGGTTTATTTCCCAACCTCCTTTTTAAAAACTACATATAAGCTTCCTGCATATCGCATGCCCCTATTGAGTCATGACAGACAACTGCTGATGAAAAAAAAAGATAGAGGATTAAACCAACTGGATAAGAAAATCAGGGAAAGAATAACTGACAGCCACATTACTGTAAACCAAACCACAAGGTTCACTCCCCAGGGAAGGAAGGGAGTTCCCTCAGAATAACCAATTGCATTGCTGAACATTCCCACCTCCAGGGCCACTTATGGGGACAAGTAGGTGTGCTTAAAAACATGGGAAAAGGAGGTACATCTACTGTTGGTGTGCCTGATACTTCTTTTTGATATTCTAAAAAGTTATGTTGACAAATAGCCAGACATATTTTATACAGTTCAATATAAATATTGATATAATATTTAATTACTTGCCTCATAATCATCTGCTTCATTCATAAAGAAAAGTCGATCCATATATCTATTCATACACATATATTTTACATATTTGTACACTTACATGTAAAAAACATGATAAATACATGTAAAAAAAATGAGAGAGAGAGAGAGAGAGAGAGAGAGAGAGAGAGAGAGAGAGAGAGAGAGAGAGAGAGAGAGAGAGAGAGAGAGAGAGAGAGAGAGAGAGAGAGAGAGAGAGAGAGAGAGAGAGAGAGAGAGAGAGAGAGAGAGAGAGAGAGAGAGAGAGAGAGAGAGAGAGAGAGAGAGAGGGTGAGGGTGAGGGTGAGGGTGAGGGTGAGGGTGAGGGTGAGGGTGAGGGTGAGGGTGAGGGTGAGAGAGAGAGAGAGAGAGAGAGAGAGAGAGAGAGAGAGAGAGAGAGAGAGAGAGAGAGAGAGAGAGAGAGAGAGAGAGAGAGAGAGAGAGAGAGAGAGAGAGAAAGAGAAAGAGAGAGAGAGAGAGAGAGAAAGAGAGAGAGAGAGAGAGAGAGAGAGAGAGAGAGAGAAAGAGAGAGAGAGAGAGAGAGAGAGAGAAAGAGAGAGAGAGAGAGAAGGGGGGGGGGTTGTGCCTGTGTTACAGAAATATGAGAGAGTCTAAGTTTATGAGTATGAGCAGAAATATGATGATGAGTATGAATGTGACTGCAAGTGCAAGTAAATCTATTTATCCTAGTGACTTAATCAATATTTTGTACAATCACATCACATAGTAACAGAAAATTTGTTTTAACAAACCTACCTACATATAATAATTTAAATAATTTATTTTTCAGAAATACAAATGCCATAATTCTGCAAAAGAATATTAAAATTTGCTAATCTTACTATCACCAATCTTTTCACCTGACAATTTTTATAGAAAGGGTATGTTGTCTCCTCCTTTCTACATGATCATTTCTGCTTTTGTTCACTTACACACATTATACAATAGTAAGCACATCATGCCCATGAAATTTTTAATGTAAGTTTGTTTTTCTTCACATATTTCTTGAACCCATTATAATCACCAAATGTAATCTCTTGACAATCAATAAGATTTAACTCAGAAAGTGGATTATTCAGATGAAGTAATGTCCAAATTGGTGCACTGTCTATGTTATTGCAGAGTGTAAAACTTAGAAAACCAAGATGGGGAAGTTTTGTCGTATGCATGACGTCTAAAAGAATTTCATTGGAGAGGAGGTCCTGACCCATCACAGAAACCTTTTCCAACAGAGGGGATCCAAGAGTAAGTCTCAGGGATTCTGCTGGGATCTGGAACTCTATAGATTCCACAATGTCATTTGGGACACGGCTCAGGATGACACTCTTAAGGTGACTGAACTTTGGCTTGATCTTTTTGTTTTTGAACTCTTTGGACACAAGGTTACTATGACAGTAAGTATTATTTCCATCAAGCTCCAAAGTGTGCAGTTCTGGACATAGATGGCCTATAAGTTCTACATTAATATTCTGCACATTTTGTAAATGCAGACGCCGTAAGCTCTCTCCATGATGCTGAAGAAGAGGCATAATTTCTTTATAAAAATCAACGTGAACGTCCTCAGTCAATGTTAATACTAGATCTATCACATTCTCTAGATTTAAAATAGGTAAGAAGGTGTTACTCTCCACATTACTAATATCTCTGAGGTACAGATACTGAACTGAGGGACAAACCTTCAAGGCCGAGGCAATGTGTTCTCCATCTGCAAAGACCCCGTAGGCTCCACTGCCAAATTCATCACTCTGCAAGGCCCGTAGTTGCAGGGGCCCCAACTCTGGTACGACGCCACCAAGGACTGATGCTTCCTCAGCCATTCTCTTTCTACTTTCAACTAACTTTGACACAGAAAATAACACAGTAGAATGCACAATCTCCTTTAAATTTGGCATATTAATCAAGGCACACTGAATCCCTTTAGGAGTTACCACTGTTCCATATAGATCCATCTTCAGCAGAGATCTTGATATGTCTGTTTTCTTAGACACCTTCATGTCGTGACATAAACTTGATATACCAATGTCAGTCACATCTGTGTCTGCTAAATTAAGAACTCTGAAAATAAAGAAAATAAAGCACTATAAATCTCTTAAATTGTAAAGAACTATCATGTGCATATATGTACACACATGCATGTATGCATAAAGGTATGTATGAATGTATGCATGTATGTGAATGTATGTGTGTGTATGTGTGTTGTGTGTATGCGTGTATGTGTGTATGCGTATATGTGTGTATGTATGTATGTGTGTATGTATGTATGTATGTATGTATGTATGTATGTGTACTTATGTATGTATGTATGTGTACTTATGTATGTATTTATGTATGTATTTATGTATTTATTTATGTATATATGTGTATGTACATGTATGTAAGTGTATATACATGTAAGTATTTTCTTATGTATGTATATACTAATGTATATATTTGTATTTATGTATGTATGTATGTATGTATGTATGTATGTATGTATACGTGTGTGTGTGTGTGTGTGTGTGTGTGTGTGTGTGTGTGTGTGTGTGTGTGTGTGTGTGTGTGTGTGTGTGTGTGTGTGTGTGTGTGTGTGTGTGTGTGTGTGTGTGTGTGTGTGTGTGTGTGTGTGTGTGTGTGTGTGTGTGTGTGTGTGTGTGTGTGTACATATATGCTTTTGCAAATGCATAGATGTAAGTCTGTACATATTCATATAGTATGAAATAGTGTACAATGTTATTTGGCTATCTACTTACAACTGACTCGTGTATAATCATATGACCATATGGCTGGCAGGGCTATTTCACAATCAGTAATTGATGATAATATTTGACTAATAATTTGAGTAAAACCATTTGATTCTCAAGTTTACAATTTTCACCAATCAATACTCAATTTTTCTACTCTATTACCCATACAAATAAATGTTACTTATTGTTAATATTACTGCACTGAGTTCTAAACTACCCACTGAGATGATATGGAGTCTGTGCAAGTATAACAGTCTATTACACTCTGGATAAAGCAAATCAAATGACAAATACAGACATTGGAATATGATAAAAATGCTAAAAACGCATATGCTAAAAAAGTCATACGAGTGTTTGTTTGTGTCCGGCCTACAAGCCACGCACCCAGCAGCGTGTCCATTCACGTAAACTTAATGCATTCAGGACCACATGATGGCATGGAAGCATCTGGATCCAATGGGTTAATACTAGCATACCTGCTTGGAATGTTTAAATCATAGTCAGATTTACTATTTTATAAACATGAGTGGCAGCCTTGCTGGTTGGGACACATTTGGCAATTAATAATAAAATTTGACTCATAACTTAAGTATTAGTATATACTTCCAAGCAAGTTTACATTTTCATTGACAATTACATTTCTAATGTCCCATTAATCCCATTAACACTGGCATATGAGTATATCATAGTTAAATTTTCTATTTTTGTAGAGACAAGTTTGGTGTTCACATCACAGTCTCTGGCCACTGGTCATGACACTTGATCAGTAATTGTAAACAGAGAGTGGCAAGGGAATGAAACCTGCAGTTGTAAATTCTTTCATTTTTAGTTCTACTATCATTTTTGTACTATTTTTGCAATGACCATGTTACTCATGATAATCTTCTTTCATACAAGATGTACAAATGAGTGATGAGCAAAAAGTGGTATGAAAGTTTCTCAGCTATCCTTCTACTTATACTTGCATCCTTGCAACCTTTCCTAATCTTTTTTCATATTTTTTCCACAGGCATATTATGGAGGAATATCTCTCACATATCTCTCACATTTCACATAGATAGCTACGCTTGTACTAAATAACCAATGAGCCAATTACGAGTACTGCCAGTCTCACCCGTTTACCCTTTTCTTGAATTTATGAAAATATTTTACATTATCTTATTTTGCTATTAGTAATGTTTATAACATTATAGTAATTATAATGTTTATAATAAAAATAACACCATCAATATTCATAGCACTAGTAAAAAATACATTTTCCCGCCAACTCAAGGAAAGGTGAAATCAGGTAACCTTGAGCCATCTATGTAGAGACATTTCCCCCGCAGCAATGGGTTAACAGGCACTACATGACCTGTGACTGAGCACTTGTGAAGCAATCTATATGTAAAAAAATTACACTAAAATCAGGGTGGACATGACATATATGCCATGCCATCCCAGCCCATTTGATTAAAATCACAAACTCAGTATTACCTTATGTGTTTGGAATATGCACCAATGACACTCAGGGTCTGGTCAGCCACATTAGTCTGGGATAAGTCAACAGTCTGCAGGAGTTCTAAGTTGATGAATATTTCATTCACCATTTTGCGAGGTAGATTCCTACTCTTTAGTCCTAAGTGACGTAATTTCTGAAAATACAGATTTGTTAAATTGCGTTAATCTCAAAGGACTGTAAATCTTCAACCAATCTATGGCCTAAGCCCATAATAATGCCTGAATTTATATATTTCACAAGGAGTAAATTTGATTTTCTAAGTTTGGAGAGTGAATTTACCAATCAGAATATGTCTCCCATGTGATTTGTAAAATTTTAGATCAATGACTTCAAGGGATAGAAAACTTTAGGTAACTTAATGTAACTTTTCAAACAACTTAATGCTAGTTAAGGAGAAAATTGGGATGCTTGGTGTTTATAAAAATCTGTCTTTTGATGAACTAAAATATTGTGGACTAAAATATTTTTTTGATCTACAATAAATCAAATAATGTTAAACTCTAAATAGTGCTTATGTCGATATATATTTTGTTTGCTTTCCAGTAATCAACATCAGTAGTTGTAATCACTGAAAAGAGGGATTTAGTGGTTTTACTGTAAAAATTCACATATGACTCCAGAAATAAATAATCACCTGACCTCACCTGACATCCCTATTTCTTGAACTTTTAAATTTTCTTTTAGACCTTTTAATATCAACATTGCTATTATTGTCGTTATTGACATTAGGATAATTATAATATAATTATAAATACTAAAAGCAATAATAGATAAAATATAAATCTGGGACTAGTAATTGACTTTGCTGACAAAGCTCTTGAGGAACTTAAAAACCCCTTAGACATGGCAAGTATTTTTTCCCTTGCAAGAATCAAAGAGTTAATAATATTTATGTGATATAAACATGAAAACCACTTCCAGCTTATACATTACTTAATCTTAAAAATTGGCATAGAAAATTGTGAAGCCTGGCTCACTGCCTGTTCAATGCACTTCACAAAGATCTGCCATATGACTTGTAGGCTTGCAATCAATTCTCCTGATCATGACCAAATGTGGGCCTGAAGCTGACTGTGCATAACACTACAATTGTTTAAATTAGCCTTTGGGTGGGAATCACCGGGCTAGCTGTAGAAGGAATCTTTGCCTACTTGTAGAGTAGTCTGTGATCAGAGTGAGAGGCTGTAGAGGAGATAGCATAAAACTGAACCTATTTGATTGGGCTAAACAGAGTACTCAAAAGATTTGTAGTAGAAGGATGGGACCTTGTGGAAGAAGGAGTGTTGCTGAATGAAGCAGTACTGCAGAGAGACACATAATAAAGCTGCAGAGTAGTAGTAAGGGAGGAGGAGGTAG